ATAAAAGTTAACCAAGAGCATAAATCTTAAACAGATGGATAATTGTTGGCCACGATACTGAAAGAAGTTCCTTACTGCTGCTGAAAAGCTCTGTTGCAGAATCTGAAGAACCAGCCAAGGCCTTTACTTCAGTTCCGAGGAGCAACCCTACCCCTCAAATGATATGCGTCTCTGAACAACTTTTCTTAGAAAAAATACTGCATTCACTTCTCAAACGTGACTATCATATCACTTTCTCTATCAATAACACTATTTCTGCTCTTGCACTTCTCAGTGAAAAGCATCTAGAAATTACTAAAAATGGATTAAGCTGTTTGTAGTGATTGTAACGAGGTCAGCCACATGGACCTCAAAGTACGAGTTACCTGATTGAACCCTATTCATAGCCCCATAGCCCCAATCAGGGAGCCGTAGCTGGCAGATAAAAACAGGAGTGTCAGACATCCTGTTCACTCAGAGCGCTGGCTCTGAGGAGCTGGATCAGTGTCAAGGACTCTCCACATGTAAATAAGTGGTGACTTGGTGATGGGATACTGGTCTTTGGGGAGTTATTTCAGTGGCGATGAGAGAAAAGCACGCTCCTGATGAAATTCGCTTGCAACAGCTGTCTTTGAGTTAGGATAAGCATTTCTGGCATCATTATTTGAGAAGCTTGACTCCTTCAATCCTGCTATCAAAGACTGGGCCCAGTATGTAGAAAGAATGTGTAATTTTTTCCAGGTAATGACATCAGGGCAGATGAAAAACAACATGAAATTTTCCTGACAGCTTTTTAGGAGCCTAACTTTCCCTGAGGCACGACATACTAAAACCTTTCAAGAGTTGACGGATTTAGTTAAGGAATATTACGACACCAAGTGTCCTCTAATCCTGAGATACTATTTGGTTTTACTCAAAATTGAAGAACCAGGGGAATCCATATCAGGATTTTTGACCAGGTTAAGATGGAAAAGGAATGTGACTTTGGTTTAACCCTTAATGAGATGCCGACAGACTGTTCGGTATGTGGGATTAATGATGTAACCGTGCAAAAGCTTCTACTAAACTGAAGCCCAACTGGACTTCAAATAGGCACAACAACTACTTTTGCCACTGGAAAATATGGCAAATGGAGCATACGAGTTGTAGGGTATTCTGATGGAAGTGGACACCTTCGCCAGTCCGACTGAGTTTGGGGAATACCACTCCAGTGAAGGCAATTGCAAAGCCTCAGTGAGGGCAAATCCCAAACAGAGGGACTCTCGGTCAGCCCACAGCAAACTCCAAAACAAAGCCAATACTCGGCGAAAATGGCTAAAATTTTCATTTGGATCCAGGCCAGCAAGCCACTGTTGCTGCTGCTGATACGCAGACTGGAGACAGCAAAAAAGCCCCATGAGATCTAAATTGAGTAAGGACCTTACAAGCCAGTATCCAGGACAGTGCACATCCTGAAAAGTCCACCAATACTTTTATGGATATAAATTTGTAATAACAACAGATCACAAGTCCTGCTGGGTTAAGAGGAAAGGCGGTGACACTCAGCTTCAAGCCGAATTCAACGGTGGGCTACAATCTGGAACACCGCCCTAGAGGCTAAGGAGCAAATGCGGATGGATTGAGCCGCCTTCCGCTGGCAGATACACCACCGGTGCTACTGCCACTGGAACAGTCCGTAATGGCTTTAAATTCTCTCGACTCCCTTCCAGTCACAGCTGACAATAATGATCAGACTTTGGATGCAGAAAGATCCGGTACTGGCAAAACTGAAACAGTTGGTGGTGATAACGGAAACCAAACAGCCATCACAACCAGAATTGAAACCTTTTTGGACCGGAGAAACCAGATCACAGTAGAGGAGAGCATATTATTATGGCGAACAAGAGTGATAAAACGTCGCCACTGGATACTGGCTGAACTCCACTGGGGTCATCCAGGGGATTCCAAAATAAAGATGTTGACAAGAAGTTATGTCTGGTGGCCGGGACTGGATGCAGACATAACCGCGTTGTTGGGTCAGTGCCCAGAATGCCAACAAAGATAAAAATTACCATCACCAGCTCTCCCACATTCGTGGCAATGACCAGGTAAACCCTGGGCTTGATTACATGTCAACTAGGCAGGTCCTTTCATGGGCTCAATGTTCGTAGTTATTGTGGACACCCAGTCAAAGTTGCTGAATGTGCAGAGAGTTCATTCGTCAAACACAGAGACAACAATAGAAAAACACCGCGCATCTTTTGCTATACACAGACTCCTGGAAGCATTGGTCACATAACAGGCCATTGCTTACCAGCAGGGAATTTGAGCATTTCCTAAAGTCGAATGGTATTCGACATACAAGGACAGCTTCCATACCTTCCATCATCCAATAGTCTGGCAGAAAGAGCAGTCCAAACTTTGAAGGCAGGCTTAAAGGAACATCCTATAGCTTCAATTGATCGCAAACTGTCCCAGTTCCTATTTGACTATAGGACCACCCCTAATGCTAATACAAGGTTAGCTCCAGCAGAGATGCTAATGGGGAGCAGACACCGTACCAGGTTAATTCTAATCTTTCCAGAGCTTGTGGTGGTGGTAGTGGGGGGTGAGACACCAATGCTGGACAGAAGAATCCGCTAAGCAAGAGAGACAGTTTATTTCAGGGGATGAAGTTTGGTGTAGAAACCGTGGGAATGCATGGGTAAGAGGCATGATGGATACAAGGTCAGGTCCAGTGATGTATAAAGTTTGGGTAGACACAATGGTCCTGAACAAGCATGTGGACCATGTGAAAGCTGCAAACTCAAACTGTGTGGGAGTAAAACATGCCCGGCTCCTCAACAGCCTTCCAACTTTTCTGGAAACTGAGTTCTCCCTCTCCGTCAAGCGAAGGTACCTCAGTGTCTGAGATAGACATACCAGATGTTGCCACCATGATGCCTTTGCTGCCTGAAAGAGTTGGAACAACCTGACCTGGTGCTAAAACATCCCAGGAGGAGCTACAATAAAAAAAAAAGAGAACCAGCCTATGCCCTCAGATTCAGAGGGGAAGGGATGTAGAGATTGTAATGAGGTCAGCCAAGTGGACTTCACAAAATGAGAGGAATTAATGACAGATAAGAACAGGAATGTCAGACATCCTGTTCACCCAGAGCTGCCTGTGAGGGAGCTAGATCAGTGTCACAAACTCTTCATGTGTAAATAAAGGATGACTTAGTGACGGGATACCAGCCTCTGTGGATTTATTTCAATGTTTTTGATAGATGATTTCTCTTTCCTTGCTATCCTGAGGCATGCTAAGTTCAAATGCTGAAACATGGTTGAGTTCAATAATCTCACATTAAGAATCACAATCAGTGTATGTCCTGGTTCCCAAACTGTGGATCATAACCGCTAAGGGGATCATGAGTTCAACCTCCTCAGAAACTGCACTGCATACGCTCCATGGTCTTGTCCTTGCTATTCTCATGCCTCAGCCTTAGAATTGAAGAGTCTCATCCAGGGGGAGGAGTCCAAGTACATTTCAAGTGCAAGGCTGTGATTTTCTCTTTCCACAATGCACTTTCTCCTATTAATCTTTTCCACAGGATACAATCTTGGCACTGGCAGCCTGGATCCTGGGGTATTTTTCTTCCTTTCATGACCACTTTAAAAAGTTGCATGCAGGTGACTAACTAATTAGAGTTAATGGGGCTTAGGCTTAATGGGCATCTGGTGTGCAACAGAGTTCGGAAAGTAGATTAACAAATCAATTGATGCTATAAATTTAACAGGGGCCTGAAGGGGGAAATCAGTTCTTACGTTGGTGAACATGTGGGTGGTTATGAGAGGATGCTGGGTAGAGTTATTACATGATCCATTCTGAAAGGAGACTGCATCAACTACACAGTTCTACTCTAAGCAAGTTCAGAAAATATTAATTCTAAATAGTAAATATCCAGTCAAAACAAAAGGACCATGAAACTGGTCAATCAGCCACATACTGCCTCAGGCTATCAGAACTGTTCCATCGCCCTGCTGAGTGACCTGTATAGGCTGAGGTGGTGGATATAGAAGAGAAGGCATGACTACAGCACTTGTGTATGCTTCACTGACATAGGTGTCACTGGGGAATATGGAGAGCTTGGCTGAAATCTGTGCAGGTGCATAAAATAACAAACTAATTTAAAAGCATTAGCTAATAGTCATTAGCACATATTAACATGCTGTTTTATTTGCTCGTTTTTTTTTGTTGGCTTCTGGAGCCATGTTCACGGCGAGCACTGGTCTCAGGTCATCCCCCTGCTGGCTCTGCTGCTCAACTGACCAATTCATTAATTCATTTGAAGGACCTTACCCAGTAGTCATTTAATGGTCATCACAAGACAATCAATTAACAGTTGGATATAGTAAGCGGCAAAATAACTCAGGAGTATGACAGCCAAACAAAATCCCTCATCCATTCACTTAGAATTTACCGATCAGGCAATGTTAAGGCTCAGAATAGGGATATTTTGGTCTTTTGGAGCTCAAAACTCCAAAATATTCATAACAGCACACAAGTTCATAGTGAGACAAAACTGCCATTTGCAGCTTGAACACAAGATGGGGCTTACACCAGCATTTTGTTCCCTGTTTTACAATTATACCCATGTTCCCTTTAGCATGCAATTCTTAAACTGAATTTATTTTTGTGCTCTGCACAGGTACAGTGAGCAAAAGGCTTTGAATTGAAATTTGCAGCAATAAAATGCTTTGGAGGCAGTATAGCTGCAATCATGTTGCTCAACACCTTTAAGCATTTGAAATATGCTATATGTTACCTACAGCACAAAGGTCAATAAAACCTAAATTTCAGTAATAGTGCCTCACCACATATCAGAGTCATTTGCATGCATGTGAATGAGAATGCACAGTCATGTGTCTTAGAAATAAGAGTAACTATTTGCTGTTTATTTTCTAAATTCAGGTATTTTTCTCCACAACACTATAAACACTAATCCTATGAAAACCAGCGTGTATATTACACTATTCTGTATACAAATTACAAGGAAGCCTACCTAAACGCAGATTCCCAAAAGCAGTTCACTGCACAAACACCAGTGGGCAGCATCCAATATGGATTCCAGAAAGAAACAGACACATCCTTACACCTGATTGAATAAAAAGAAAGCAGGCCATGTGTGAAAACAGCTTCTCTTTTTATACAGTAACGTGCAAAAAATAAAATTTCCAAGCATAAAGGAAAAATTAAAAGCCTGACCAAATTCAATGTATGCATGCTAAGAAAAATGATCTAAAATAATTCTGTACAAAACCAAATTTTAAAGCCGATAATTTTTGATGATGAAATAAATGGCTTGAAATGTTGGAGAATTTCAAACAAAGTTAAAAAGGGTCTCTTATTTTTACTGATTTCTTTGCTGAATATCTGGAATTTATGCCTTTTGTAAAGCATTTGAAATGTTTACAATTCTTATTTTACTTCTAAAAAGGTATTTAGTTACAAGCTTACCAGGTTCTTTGAACCATCTCCTGAGAAGAGCATATATATTTTTAAAAAATGCATTTCCAAGATACGTAACAAATTCAAATCACAAAAGATGCTGTGACTGAAAATATAGCATGCTGGAGCTATGGGATATTGGGTTACGAGCAGCTTTTATGCATCATGACCTACCAAAGGGCACTTAATAGGAATTTGTTTAAAAATAGATATACTAAAAGGGATTGGGATAACTGACCACACAGGCACACCATTTTATTGGGTGTAGGCCAGAATTTGGACACGTAGAAGAATGAAAAGGTGGAAATTAAAAGCCTCAGATCTTCTGACTTGAATGGGCAAAATCTGACTTGCTGTTAATGGAGGGTAGATCAAAAATTAAAGAGGATAGGATTGTGCTTGGCTCTAAAACTTTTAGATCTAGCAGTGTAAAGTCTAGCCTCATTCATGCAATCCCTGTAACTATAATGGGGGCAAGAAAACTGAAATAACTAATGCCAAAAAATAATCTGGCTGCCAAATAGATTTTCATACACAGATGTTGCAGTTGCAATTCCTTAGTCTAACAATTATTTTTAAAGAACCACAAAGATTTAAAAGTTCCATGTTTTTACAAATATATCCCCAAAACCTAAAGCCAATCTTAATAGGAAAAGACAGCTCAGCAACAGGAAATACTCCAGGATACAATTTCCAAATGCTGAAAAGGAAGAACAGGAAAACTGGTTGGAACCATAACTTATAAACCAGTTCTTACTCCTTTCTGGTGAAACCACAAAACTATAGACAGGATTTTTTAAATCAACGAAGTAAACCTCCGCAGAAGTCATGTCATTGCATCCCAATGTTTCACAGTTTTCTTTCCATAACTCTGCCTAAGCATAGACGGTTTTATGTTTTAATCACTGCAAACAACACTACTGACAGTTCAGATTTCCTCCCAATAATTGCAACTAGCATTCGCATAAAAAAATTCTGATGAAGAAACATTTTATGACCTGATGTACAATTACAGCATATTATAATTAAGAAAGCATGCTACAGGACCACTTAGGATGTTGACCATATTCTCTTGTCTACTCTGAAATGGTTGTAAGTGGCTATTTTCTGATCAAACTGTTCAGCTATGTTACACACATTTCTTGATTGGGTGAAACTTGAACCCTGGCCTCCTGGTTAAGAGGTGGGGACACCACCTCTGTACCACAAGAGTCCCAAAATGCTGAAAAACTGTTCTTCTAATCTCTCGTCACCTTTAACAACTCATGCACATATACACGCAGATCCCTCAACTCCTGCACCTCTTTAAGTTACGTGACTTTTATACTGTTATTTCTGTCAAATGAAATCACATTGAACTTCATCTATCACCTGTCAACCCATGCCTCTCACTTTTCTATGAAGATACTGGAGAAATTCAGATACTCAAGTTCACAATGCTTCCAAAATTGTGCTATTCACACATTTTGAAACTTTTCCCTGTTGACCAAGGTCTGTGACATTAATATAAAAATCAAGAGGAGAAAGGGCCACATTATCAACTCTACCGGAATTGCAATATAAACCTTTCCACACTCTGTAGAATATCCATTAACAAACACTCCCATCTGCCATTCAAACATGCCTAAATCCATATTGCTAATATTAATAATTAATTATTTAGATGAGGCAACTAAATATAATAGCTCCAGGCTTGCAGATGACACAAAAGTTGGATGAGAGGGTGAGCTGTGAGGAGGATGCAGAAATGTTTCATTGTGCTTTGGACAAGTTGAGAAAGCGGGTGAATGCATAGCAGATGAAGTGTAATGTTGGCAAATGTGAAGTTACCACGTCGGTGCGGTTGTAGACTTCCTCACCAAGCCGGTGTGTGCGTGTGTGTTTGCAGACGTTTTGTGACCCAGCCAGGTAACATTGTCAGCGTGCCTCCAGTGAAGTGTTGATGTTCTGTCCCGCGTGTTATTTATATGCCTTGGTTGGCGGTTGGCATCACTTCCGGTTGTTTTTCAGTGGTTTGGATAACGGGTCGAGTTCAATGTGTTTATTGATGGAATTCCAGTGGAAAATCATGTCTCTGTTTGTCTTGTGCTATTATGGATGTGCTGTCCCAGTTAAATTCATGTTCTTCTTTGTCCGTTTGTATTAAGACCAGTGAGAATTGGCTGTGTCTCTTTGGTAGCTAGTTCATGTTCATGTATCCTTCTTGTCAGTTTTCTTCCAGTTTGGGCTATGCAATGTTTCTCAGTGCTTGCATGGTATTTTGTATATTATATTAGTTGTATTGATTGTGGGTATGGGATCCTTTATGATTGTCAGTAGCTGTCGCAGGGTGGCTGTTGGTTTGTGGGCTATCCTGATACCTAGGGGTCTGAGTAGTCTTGTGGTCATCACGGATATGTCTCTGATGTACGGTAGGGTGACTAGTGTGTCTGGCTGTGTTGTGTTTTCTTGTTGTGGTCTATCGTGGAGGTAACAGCAGATTGTGCTTTTTGGGTATCCATTCCTTTTAATAACTGTATAAGGTGCTTCTGTTCTGCTTTGTGCAATTTTGGGTTGCTGCAGTGTTTTGTGGCTCGTTTAAATGATGTCCTGATGCAGCTCTGTTTATGGGTGTTGGGGTGGTTGCTCGTGCAATTAAGTATCTGGTCTGTATGTGTGGTCTTTCTGTATACGCTAATCTGGAGTTCTCCGTTGTTCTTATGTTCCACCATTATGTCTAGGAAGGGTAGTCACTTATTGTTCTCGTCTTTTTTTGTGAATTTTATTTCAGTGAGGATGTTGCTTATGGGTTGGTGAATTTCTTCTAGCCTTGTGCATTTGATAATAATGAAGGTGTCATCTACATAGCAGACCCAGAGTTTGGGTCGTATTGTGAGGAGCGCTGTCCATTCTAACCTTTGCATTACCACTTCTGGGATCAGTCCTGATATTGGGGGTCCCATTAATATTCCGTGGATTTGTTTGAATATACAGTCGTTGAAGGTGAAATGGGTTGCGAGGCATAGATCCAGCAATTTCAGGGTGCTGTCCTTGTTGATGCTGTTGGTGTCGTGGGGTGTCTGCCTTCCTGATTCGTCCAGCAGTGTGGCAGTTGTCTCTTTGGCTAGGTAGACGTTTATGGATGTAAGTAAAAAGTGCTGTTATGTCAAAGGATATCATTATCTGGTCCTCCTCTATTCTGGTGCCCTTGATGATGTTGAGGAATTCTTGGGAAGAATGGATGGAGTGGGCAGTGTTGTCTACTAAATATTTCAGTTTCCATTGTAATGCTTCGGCTAATCTATATGTTGGCATGCCTGGTAGCAAGTACGGGGACTGAATTATAACTACAGAGATGCCAAAAAACACTGACTTCCTGGCTGCACTGGAATCGACACTAATGTGCACGGAAGAAATACAACAGACCATCAGACAGACAACAGTCCCACACTTAGCAGATAAGTGGAACACATTTTACACAGAAGAGAAGAAAGCCCTGGAAAGACTCAAGAAAGACAGAAACATTGTAATCTTAGCAGTAGACAAAAACGCATGACAGTAATCCTTAATGGAGCCGAATACATAGAGAAAGCTAACGCACTACTAGCGGATACCGACACCTACCAACATATGACGATAGACCCAACATCACAGTTAGAAAATCGGAATACAACAAACCTGAAGAAATTACACAACTCAGGAAATATTAGCAAGACAGACTACCAAAAAAATGAAGCCAGAGGGATCTAACATATCTCGCTTCTATGGACTCTCTAAGGTACACAAGCCAGAGGGCTCCCTCAGACCCATTGTCTCACTATCAGGCACGCCAACATATAGACTAGCCAAAGAGCTACAACGAAAACCGAAATACTTAGTAGACAACACTACCCACTCCATTCATTCCTCCCCATCAAGGACACCAGAATAGAAGAGGACGAGATAATGATACCCTTAACAGCACTATTTACATCCATAAACATCGACCTGGCCAAAGAGACAATTGCCACACTGCTGGATGAATCAGGAAGGCAGACACCCCACGACACCAAAAGCATCAACAAGGACAGCACCCTGAAACTGCTGGATCTGTGCCTCACAACCCATTTCACTTTCAATGACTGTATATTCAAACAAATCAACGTAAAAGCGGTAATGCAAAGGTTAGAACGGACAGTGCTCCTCACTATACAAACCAAACTCTGGGTCTGCTATATAGATGACACCTTCGTGATCATCAAACGCACAAGACGAGAAGAAACCCACCGACACAGAAGCAACTTCCTCACAAAAAGCAGGAGAATAATAACCAACTACCCTTCCTAGACATAATGGTAGAACTCAAGAACAACGGGAAACTCCAGACTAGTGTATACAGAAAGACCACACATACAGACCAGACACTTAATTGCACCAGCAACCACCCAAACACCCACAAACAGAGCTGCATCAGGACATTATTTAAACGAGCCACAACACACTGCAGCAACCCAGAAATGCGCAAAGCAGAACAGAAGCACTTTTATACAAAAGAATGGATACCCAAAAAGCACAATCTGCCGTTACCTCCGTGACAGCCCACAAGAAAACACAACACAGCCAGACACACTAGTCACCCTACTGTACAACAGAGACATATCAGAGATGACCACAAGACTACTCAGACCC